ATTTCAGAGAAAGTGTTTTGTGTGTGTGTGCTGTCTAGGGATTCCCTTGCCGTCTGTGTCGAGTGAGGCTTCCAGTACTCTGCGTGAGAATGAGGCGCGTGCAGTCGTGAACATTATTTTTGGAATGGTCACATGCCTGACCTGTTCCACCAACACCCATCCTACCACATCACACTCCCTGACACAGCTTGCGGCGGGAGAGGCTCGTGTAATGTTACAAGCTGAAAATACCGCGTGCATTACTCTCCCGCAGCATTGCAGCAGTATAGTAAACATTTAAAACAAATCGCACAGGAGTTAAATTTTGATCTTAGAGTCCTATTCTACCGGGGTAAGCTATCTATGACACATGATCGCATAACCGTACTGTATACTAGGTTTATGTCACTTAGTGCAGGATGCCCATGCGGGCTGTAATATTGTGTCGTGCCATTGGGAATTAATTTGAGTACATTACTGTATGTTGACAGTGATATAAAATTTAGTATTACTGGAATGCCATTGCCGGTTCACATGCCTCTGCCCTGCTTGATAGTATACTCACTAGCTCATGCTGACATACAGTGCAATGAAAACATAGTCTTAGGATGCTTCTTGAAGAGGCCAGTATTGTAGTCAATGCATCACGTGGGTAGGGTTTAGTTTCTTACGATGGGAAAAACTATTTGCCGTGATTATTTTTAATCCTCATCAAATTCGAAACACTGCATTTGGAAATTCAAGTAAATTCACGACCGGCTGATTTGTTACCACTACATTAACGAGGCTCTCACCCTCGTGACTATAGTGAACACTATCTGTGCCTGTCACTTCCTTTTGTGACACATATCCTTGTCTGTTTATACACTTGTACAATAATAATCCTAATTCCGATTTGAAGTTTCAATAACTTTAATTTTGAGTGTTATAAATATATATTTGTCCAAGCAAACTTTTGTTCCTGTAAATATATGTTATCTGTCATTGCTTATTTTTGTGCACTCTTTTGGGTTGTTTTTTTCCCTCCAATTTCTTTTTGGTTATTATGCTCTGCTTTCTCTTGTATTCACTTCTTTGCTTTACCCATTTTATTTTATTGATGTTATCCTTTTTCAAACCTAGGACACTTGCAAATATGACTATCCTGGTCTGTTGAGCTCTGGTTACCTAAACTTGCGTTTACTTGTACATGCTGCAGCAACAATAAATCTTTCTAGGAAAACATCATTTTAGGAGTGTCACCTGGAGCAGAACATGGTTACTTTAAAACAATGATGTATTGCGTACTCACTCATCCGCGCCAGACGCACTGCGGTCCCATTACGCATACCAGGTGCTGCACGTGTGATCCCCGCCAAAAAACGAACAATAGTCAACCATAGTAGGCGACCCATCATATTCGTCATCGTCATCAGCTATCAACTGCAGCCTTTCAGCATTTCATTCTAGATATGTTGTTCTATCCAGCACCTTTGTTCTCAACGATACACGTGATTAAAGGCACGGTTGGCTACGCGAACAAAGTTCAACATACATACACACAATGCAGGTGACCTGCATGCTCATAACACCTGGGAAACCATTCAAGAAGGGATGTTAAACAAAAGATGGTGCAGCATTTGTATTCAATTAGTCATCATTTTGAACCATGGTTTATCTGCCAAAGGATGAAGGCCTCTCCTACACCATCACGATCTCTTATGAGCCTGTGATGCCTTCATTCATTGTCCACTTGCACATGAACTGGGAAATAATTTGTCATGCGTCGAATTACTTGTTTTCCTATCGATCTGTGTAAAACTACTCAACTCTTTGTAATTCTCTCTACTGCATTATATGTTTATATTGCCCCATTTGTGATTTGCATGCATACTTACCGCTTGCAATCTCCCATTGTTTACCATAACATAATGACATCTTCAATCACTTTTGAGGTTTTGTTCTCTGATTGATGAATTATTACTATACGCTACTGTCCTGTATTGGTCATAGCAATACAAAATGTATGTGACAGAGAAATGTATATGTACGTGGCACAGAACTAAAGGTTAAATATCAGTTAAACCAATTCTGAATCGTGAATGTCAGGTGTGGCTACATACGGTAAATAAGTCAATTACCTGATTCAGTACTGGATTGTAATTATATTTTGGGCCACATTATTGCATCGGTATTAGGACATTATAGTATTTCTCAATTCATTTCAATAAGCTCAAAAATAGACCCTAAAGCGATGTTTTTTTTCTTTGCAATGTCTGCCTTTACGTATTATTAAATTATCAAGTTACCACACAAGTATAGGGTACGTTGCAAGATGTAACAGATGTGCTGGGAGTGGAGAGGCGCGTTGGCAAGTGCGCACACGCTTGCGGGGTGTGTTGAGAACACCTTTTACTGGTAGGAACCTCCTGGTTACACCAGCCCACAGGGGATTATTGTGTCCGTCCGTCGTGCAGGGAGGGGTTGGGTGGGGAGGGGAGGGTGGGGAGGGGCTGGGTGGGGAGGGGAGGGGCTGGGTGGGGAGTGTGGGGCTGGGTGGGGGCTGGGAGGGGTGGGGCTGGGTGGGGAGGGGCTGGTCACCCCGTGGTGCCCTAATAAAACTCAACGTTTAACCTACTCACGCCGGCTTGTGTCCGCCCTCACAGTCGGGCATATTTGCAGAATACACCACGCCGCCGTTGACCCTGGCCATTGACCGAGCAAGCCAACGTTCCTACCAGCTCCCTCCGCAGGAATGTGTTAAACCGCGCTGCATTTGTACTGCTTGATAAGCGCAGTACCACTACTGTCCTCTGTAACTCTCAGTTGCGTTTAGAGGGTGTTCTAGTATGATCATCTCAATTGTTCTCTCCGGGTACTGGAGAACCGCTGTCGTGCCAGATATATGTCACAAAGAACACAAATCAAGGGGTATGACAGAGTGCATCAGCATCGACCAACGTCACGGCGCAATAATGAGGCGATTGTGCCCGACAGCGATACAATCAATAGCCTTCGATAAGATCGCACCAAAATTGCAGAGCGCGTCCAAGCCCTAAGACTTAAGCCGCTTTCATTTTAAATACACTGCTGTGCATTTTAGAGCGTTTCATCGCTTGTAGTTTGGGCATGAAAAATGTTACTTGACCTGCGAAAGTACACGAAGGCATACATCAGGCGTAGTACACGTGTTCATGCACGTTGCGTTGTGTAATTTCCAGCGTGATGCCGTCTCCTCCGAGTTTAACCCCACTCCGTGCCGGGTTGTGAATTTTTTTTTTGGCGATGTAAAAAAAGGGGGCTTGTTTGGACTGAAAACTTTTAGAATACCCGTACATTTTTTTTTATTTCATGAAAATGTTGGAAGCCTATGGTCAGACACAAAGTACGAGAGTACTGTTTGTATACGTTCTTGACAAATAATGAATGGAGGAAAGAGTAAATTTAAGACGTTTCATTTATTTGTCTTCAGTGCCAACTTTGAGCCTATGGCATTTGATATGGGAACAAGTGTAAGTCGATCATCGTTTTTCCCCGTGACCTAGCAGTCTCATTCTTTCTCGTCATGTCTCCTGTCCAACCTGTATGGTCATTTCCCAATGGTCTCCACAGGGCACTGCTTCTGGTGTTGGCATTGCCAAATCTTGAGGAGTGCATTGTGGTGCTGCAGGGTATCTCAGGAGATGATCCATGGTTTGCTTCTCCTGACAAGCAACACTAGTCGGTTGTGTAGAAGCCCCCCCCCCCCCCATGATTTACACACGAGACTTGCATCTGCCGAAACTCACTCCTAGTCTATTTAGGCCACCGCTACGTGAGCCATGTGGAATTGGGAGCCAGATGCGAGCTCCTCACTGGGGGTGATTCCTCGTCGGCTCCATTCAGCAGCTTTGTCGCTTGATTTTTCCCATTCTTTTTGCCAGAGGGGAGTCCTGGCAGATTCCCGTGACGTGGTCAGTGGTACAGTGTCTTTGCTGATCGGTGTCCGTGATCTTTGATCTCTTGGGGGACTGTGAGAGAGGGTAACGGAAGGGTCATTTTAGTTTAGGTGCTGCCAAGTCATCCCTGCCACTCTGTAAACAGAGCCATGCCCTCTTATTACATTGTTGTGAAACCTCTAATCCCACTTAAACGTGCGGTTGAAACTCTGCACATTAAAGTGCTTAATGTGGAACACTTCTGGTGGAACTGGGAGATAAATAATGTGTCGCGTTAAAGTTTCTGTGCACGTTATTGAATGAAAAACTGTACCAGTAATACAACAATCTGTGTTACTTAGCTATGTACGATTATTGCAGTCCTGGATTATTTAACATACTGGGGTGACACAGTTGGTAATGAAGATTACTATTAACCTGATGAGTTAGATTCTGGACACAACTCTCATTTGTGACGAATGATATCTAAACCAGTCCTGCTCTCCGCAATGAACTCCCCGCTACCTCCTCACTGACCTGCACTATAGCAGCGTGGTGAAGTATGGTCAAGCAACCCACATGGCTGACATGGCGTGGGCAGGCCTTCATCCAGCAGTGAATTGATAAAAGACTGAACATCACTCTTATCACATTGTAAAAATCATTCACCTTCTAAAATATATATTGTGACCTTTATTTTATATGAAAGCAAAATATATTTTTCGTTATTCCTTAATTTTTGGTTACCAGCAACTACCAGAATTAGTAGAGGAAAAAAAACAATGACATTAATGAAGTATAACATCCTCGTACTTTATGAATACTGTGATTAATAATGTTCTTAGTTGGAACACTACAGTCTACATGTTTCGTTATACATGCAGGAGGTGAACATTGAAAAACACATTTGCTATGAGGTTTTATTTGCTTTAATTGGCCATGTGTGTTCATAAAGTACACTAATTGCTACCCGGGCACATAACCGCTCCCTAATGACCCCTAGTGGTCAAAATATTACGTATGAAATGTTGACCGGTGTTGGTGGACATTCCAGTGGGGGGGGGGGGGGGAGCAAAAAGTATTGGGGTGACATATTGTACCGCTGTGCTGCCTGTGTTTCCTCAGAAGTATTTGAGGTGGCGTCAGCATGGAAATCTCGCCCACGTGCGATAAAGTGAACGAGAAAGTGCAGCCGGGAAAGGTTGCTCTGCCAAGGCCCTACTGCAAGGTAGGCACTACCATAGTGTGTGCATGCTGAACTCATTCCGCGCACCGTATGTAGCCAGCCGTGCTAATCGGAAGTGCAATGCATCCCAAGTTACAATGCACTGCAACTTTTTTCCGTTAAACAGGTTCTGTCAATTATTATTTCAAGAGTAAATATTTATACATTTTAGAGCAATTGCACAGTTGTTGAGTCAATACTAAAAAAACTTAACTTACTCAAATTAAGCGATGGTTATTGTGTTTGAAAAACTGCAATTTGATACTGCATGTATGATTACTGTAGTGTATGATAATCTAACTCCTTTAATTACACACGTGTGTAGTCCTATCATTGCAGTCGACACAGTGTTATCACCAGGGTTGTCACCAATTCTTGGTTTTTACAGGAGTGTTCTCTTTTTGAAGCAGCTGTCCTGGGAAATATGTAAGACTTCGCCGGATTGTTGAAAGTCCCGGTTTTTGTCAGTCCCATAATAATTCTACTACACCTCTAAACGATGGCTTTGCACGTAGATCTCTCCTCTTCTGATATTTCAAGATATTTGTCTTCCCACGATAGGTCTCCTTTAAAAAAAACTCTGAGATGGCAGCTCTAGTTATCACCGTATCATTTATCCTAAAATATATGTTACAATGAAGCAAATGTTGGATCATAAAATCCAGTCTTTATGTTTGGTGGCCTAAAATTTTATTTTTGTGATACTGTTAGTGGGTTGTCTTTGTAGTTTTACGATTAATGGCTTTCCACTCAGAATACAGTATTGTTTTTTTTTTACTGTTTTACAGTGTCCAAATGTAGAAAGAGCATAATGTGCAGAAATTCAAAAGTTGTGTTAAACTTCACCTTGCCAGAAGGCTGAGATATAAATAACAGTTTCAAAATGTCAAGAAAGCCATGGGTCAAAAATGACTTTATTAACTATACCAGGGGTTGGCAACCAAAATAACAAGAAGAGCCATTTCTTTCCAATTCGGTACAAAATTCAGTATTTCAAGAGCCGCAATGCATCTGAGTACGTACTGTACTCACGTACATATCGTCAAGAAGCAGCCCGTAAAGAGCCGCATGCGGCTCCGGAGCCGTAGGTTGCCGACCCCTGAACTATACAAAGCTATAACAAGGGAGTCTTGTAGAATGACTTGGAACGTTTCTCCTGGCAGTCTCAGCATGTTCATTAACTTTAGCCTGTTTGGTTTTTGGAGCCATTGAAATTTACAATGAACTTTAAGAATCCTAAACATGGTCTGTTGTAACTTAAGAAACTTTAAGCTATCCATAGTTCTTCAACACACTCGTTGCTATTTTTGTACAGTAGTGCATGTCAATTTTCTACAATACAATTTACTCCAATAAAAACTACTACAATTATAATTGAAGCAATATAATTACCGCTCTTTGTCAATAAGAAACCTCCAGGAGCCTCGCTGTGTGTCGGTCATGGAGGTTGTTTGACCAAATGTCACCTTGCTGGTCAGTGCTGATTGATGTAGGGGTGGGGATCCAAGACTTGTTTAAATATCATTTGCCACTGATGTGACCCATGGCCAGAAATCAAACTGGGGATGGGCTGGGTTCATAGCACAGTGCATTCAACACTGCATCATTATGTCACCCCCAATTACTACCAGAACAACTACAACAGTGATTAACTACAATAGATGTGCTCATACATGCGGCATATACAATAGGTTGCAATGGGGGCACGCTCATGCTGTTGACTTTTTATGAGTGATGTATATATATTTTTTATATATACTTAGTTCAAACTGCAAATGCTTGATAGTTACAAATATTACGTGTTTTTGTTAGTTCGTGCATAGCTTTAATGTCCTGCCAACATTTTATGGTGTGGCTTGTGGTTGAGGAGCAGATAGAGAAACAGAGAAATATATGTATCTGCACGACCAATATTAGTAACTTACCCCTGCGGGAACATTCGAAAACTGACATGTAAATCAACTTTTCCCCCATTGGCGATTGTATCGATGTTGTAATTATTGCCCTTTGCCCAAGGAGTTAGCTGGCATTATAATGAGCATTAACTTGCATAGAAACGAATTTCTCCAATTGTGCTGAACCTTGGCCTATGATTTGCCCTTTCCTGTCAATCTCACAGATTTGGTCTGCACTTCATCCGCGGCCACTTTATAAAATGCGTTTGACATGCTGGCAGACCTTTTGTAGGTAAAGGTTACACAGGGCTCAGCATATTAGAGATTGAAGAGCTGTTTCAAACAAACGGAGCCATTAATCTGGCAGAACGGCCCCCACACCTCGGTATCTGTCTAGGATCAGTGTCTGGATGAACTGGTTTGTAAACAAATCTGTGTGTTTTTTTTTAACAAGGAACTATTTTCACTCACTTGCCAAGGTGGTGGTGTGGTCGTCTCACCGACGAATCAGAACATAGAAATTGTAGTTCACTTTGGGGATGTGGCCATTGCATAAGGCCACACAAACTATGAGATTTGCTAATTCCTTTACTCAAAGCTGTTAGTAATAAATAATAACGTGTAACGCTACGTAAACATGCACAAAACTGCCAAGCAAAAGTGTCACGTAATTGCATTTATTTCTTGCACAAAACTGCCATGCAAAAGTGCCACGTGATTGCATTGATTTATTTCTTTACCAATTGAATTACCTCTGGCCCTGATTAATGTTTATATTGTGTAAAAGTTCCGCAATATTATGTATGAAAATTATAATACACACAAGCGTGGCTTGTTCAGCAGAAAAATAAAATGGTTCAAAAGTCAAGTGCTACCAAATGTTTTCAGACACTATCCTACTACTGTGTGGCAGTTTTAATGAATCAAAACATCCCCTTATATATAAAACAAAATTCACTTTAAAAAATATACAGCCCTTTGATGATGCACTGCTGGATGAAGGACTCCGCACACTGTGTAGATCATGGGGGTTGTTTGACCATACCTCACCTCACTGGTTAGTGTGGCAGTTGTGGGGTGGAGGTGGGTTGAGTACGGGTTGAGATATCACTTCTCACTGATGTCAGCCGAGGTCTGAAATCAAATGCACATTGCTGTTTCACCAGACTGCACTCAATTGTATGGTGAAGTACAGTAAATCAGCCCCGCGTGACTGACACGGCATGGGAAGTCCTCCATTGAACAGTGAATTTACAAAGCACGGCATACGATTAATTTATTTAAGGTAATACGGACGATGCAGTACAGTACTTTAATATCGCAACATATCACCAACTTATAAAGAACCCATATAAATATACTTATTGTTGCTGCTAAGCAGCGACCTTTGAGTGTTGGGTATCAGTGCCGTGACTGGCCAGTGTGTGACCCAGAAATGCACGTGCTCGCCAAATGTCTGGCGTAGCACAGTGGCCGATCACCTGTGGATGGAAGGCATGTTCTTAAAATGAGTTGACTGGTTTCCTTACAAAGTTGCTTGGTGTGAGGTGCAACCCTTGCCTCAATGTTTTGCCAAATGATGTGGAAGTACTGCTATCTTCTCTCTGACTTGGTTAAGTTGCTCGGGTGGTTTAAATACACACGTCATTGGGGATGAATCGAGTATGCTTGTTTTCATATGGCACACTGTTGTGCAAGTCATCACACTTGGTCGTGTTAAGGAAGTTCAGCGTCATATGTAAATAGGCTTGAGCTATTTGTGAGCTTCATGAAGAAAATTTTACGTTGGTAAAATGGACAAACGTGCACTAAACTGTGCGTGCGTGCCTCATTGTGAAAGACTAATTTCGTGATGTGTCTAGGCTGCTGGACAATGTGAATTTTCCTTTTAGTCCAACATGAAGCATACACCAAACTGCATTTGCTGCTGATATCTAAATACCTTCATCAGTCTTAATTTGACGAAATTTGTCTTTAGATGCTTGCCTTGTGTGTCACAATTTATACAATATGACCCCTTAAGCAGGTTCCGGACCTATTAATCACATTTTAAAAATTGCCGATTTAAGTTAATGCATGTGTAGTGACGTAGAATTGGTCACTACGTAGCATAGCGCAGGCTGCTGGCAGGGAAGGGGATCTGCAGCTTGTAGCAGCCCTGACTGGCAGCAGGCCACGTGATAGACCCGAGAGGGATGTAGGGTAAATGTTATAGAAGGGGCACGTGAGCGGAGCGCGGGAATCCGCTAGTTGGTTCCAGAAGGGAGGCGTGGCCGGGGCGGGGCGAGGCCACGCTGGGAGGATAAAAGGGGACCTCGAGCGGGAGCTCGGGGCTGTCGTTTAGGGTGGGATCCCTGTCGTCGTCGTTGCTGCTAAAGATCGTCACCATCATCGCTGTCGTCTCGTGCCTTCGTCGCTGTCGTCACCACTTGATAATTGTGCTGCTAGACGTAGTTGGCTGTCTTAGTTCAGCGCCGTCAGGGTCAGACGGCTAGCGTTGTGTGTAGGTTAGTAACCAGTGTAGAGTTGCGTATAAGCGAGAGACAGAGAGTGTGTAACAGTGTCACCCTTGCAAGCATCTACCGCAGAGCCGTATTATCCAACAGGCACAGTCGGCGCTGTGCCTGGGGCCTACGAAACTAAAGGGCCTATGGAAAAATTATTTTATCATGTTTTTGTGTGTGATAAAACATGTAACAAAGATATCTTAAATATATATACCTATAAGATAGGCACAGTATATGCACAAAGAGACAGTCATGTCAAGGTGAGAGAAATTAACAGCGGCGATGAACTTTTCGAAAAAATTTCATCGCAAAATTAGCAAACAAATGGCGTTTTTCGCACAACAGAGAGTAAGTGCAAGGGAAGACAAGCGTTGTCGTCGTACTGTTGATCGGAGACAGTTTTAAAAAAAATCAGCTGTAGCGAATGCCAGCGGCAGTAGTCGTGACATGGGGCAGCAGCAGCAGCATCAGCACCAACTAGAGAAAGTTAACAGAAGCGCCTGGGGCCCAACAAGAATCCTAAATCCGGCTCTGGGACACCGCACTGGGAAGAGAGCTCCAGGAGACGGCATTGGGCTGTGGCGAAACCCCGTTTATGATT